CCCTCGTCCGAACCTAGCGAGCCACTAGGAAGTCACGAGGGAGCCAAGTCCTGCTCGCAGGTTCTCTTGGCTTTTTCCTTCAGGTGAACACGTCCAGGAATCCAGTATCCGCAGCCGCCGCAGTATTTATTTACTGTATGTACTGCTGTGTGGTAGTAGCAGGAAATCCAGGTTGTACGCATCCGTTGTCCAAATATTTGTGATTCCGTGAGAGAAGGAGATACCACCGCCGTCGAAGGGTCGAAGGCACTGTCTGCCAGTTGTAGGCTTTGTGATAGATGGTGCCACCTATGTGTTCTTAGCCTGCCCGCCCGTAAGGGTCGTGACGAGGCCGCTGTGTGTGTGTGTGTGTGTGTGTGTGTGCTTTTATTATTAGCATCGACCGCGCTAACCGGCTGACCAATGAAAAGACGTCAGTCTTAGTGCGGTTGAAAACACAAAACACTTCTATCTACCATGAACTGGGACCCCGTGAGGGGGCAGCATGGGGGAGGCTAAACTATCCTTCGGATTAAAAACAGAAACAGCAGCAACAGACGAAAAATGCACGCGTCTACCAAGGCTATTACCTAGTACTCGAGTTCGTTTAGGAGTACTTTCACCAGTGTCCTCCTTGTTTTCGCTACCATCATTCTGATCCTCATTTCGACAAGAAGAATCTCTGGGCAGTTCTTCCCTAGCCCTACGTTTCTTGTTGTGGGGAAGGTCATCTGGCTCAAACCCTTTGCTCTCTTCCACTCCTCCATGTTTTTCTGCTCCATCGTCGTCATCCTCCTTTCTCCCCTTTCCCTTTCCTTCGTCTTCGTCACTCCCAAAAGAATTACCCTCATTACTATCGTTGTCGCAGAGATCCCAACCGATTGGCCCTGGTGGAAGTTGGTCGATCAGTAGCCCATGACGTTTGAACACATCGCGAGTTCGCATCGACAGAAAACGAGCTAGCTCGAAGGTAAACCGTCTCCGAATCCTGTTAGTATGAAAAGCTTTCAGGCGAACTAAGGCCCTCTCGTCGTCAAAATTCCCCCGGCAAAAAGCTTCGTGCGCCAAGTGGTTGGCGATAGCAACGATGAGTCGATTGGTGCCTTTGCCAAGACCACCATTCGTTGAAAAAGCAGCAGTAAGGAGGGTAGATCTAGACGGGTTGAAAGTTCCCGCATAGTGATTTGCCTTACTTGCAGCTCGATCTTCGAGGGCTGATCCTGGCTTAAGGATCGACTTGTCGATGCTTCGACCTGCTGATGGGTTGACGATTGTTACGTCGATCAGAATGGACTTGGTGCAGAGGTCCTCTTCCTTCTCTCCTGCGTGTAATCCTGGGGGGATTACCAAATCCATCTTGTATAGCCCCTTTCCCCTACCAGTGCCTGTGGTAAAAGGGGAAGAATCCTCAACGGCGATGGGCATATGGCACTCGCGCAGTGTCTTGAGGACCACTCGAACCATCCTGTTATGGAGGAAGGTTGAGGCGCCGGTCTTGGTGCAGACGAGGGAGTGGGCTCGGCTCAAGCGGTCCTTGCATGGTAACAATGCACCTGCACCACAAAGTTTGCCTGTGTTGCAGTCTGCTCGATCGTGACTCCCCAGTACACGACCGATTGACTCTCGATATAGATCAGGCAGCATTCTTTCATCTGCTGACAACCCTTGCGTTGTCAACCACGACAAAACTCCCTTGCCTTTCGCTTCCTCCAAGCGGATCAACGCCCTCTTCTTTGGCGTTTCCTCGCCTACTACTTTCTGCAAGTCTGTCTCCACCATGTGGCGCACTGCTGCATGAAGAGGTTTCGAAAGGAGAGCTTGGGCTCCAAAGACTTGGTAGTGTTGACCAAATTCATTTCGGCTGAAGGTAGACGGTGGTTGATGTTCTACGTCAGGGTTTCCATCTTCACGGGGTTTTCCCGCCTTCCCTGCTTCCAACAAGTAAACTCCTTTGAGGGCGGGGGTTAACTCATCACTTGTGGCAAGTTTAGCCCATGACTGCCCAACAGCTTTTTCAAGCTTGTCTTTGGTAATTATTTCCTCTAGCTTCTTCAGCGAGTCAATCAGAGCCAACCCTGTCGGTAGCTGGGCAAGCCGGGGTAGACATTGCTCAACTGTGTATCCTGTCGATGCTTGCACTGACTTGGAGAACACCAGCGCTTGCCCTGCCACAAAAGCCGATTCTCGAATGAGAACATTGCTCGTGATTCCTAGTCCTCCTTCTCGCATGGGTAGGTGCACCTGCGCCCGAGCTGTCCCTTTGAAGAAATCTACCTCCTCGCTCTTCGTCGGGTCTGCGCGTACCTCTTTGACCGTTGGTATTCTCATGCTGTCGGCCATCTTGCCAAGGACGATCTTACTCATTGCCCACATCATCATGTTGTCATGTATTTTTGCGGCAGAGTTGGTGATAGACGGTGCAATCGTCCTCAGCAGATGGAACAAACGTGGCACACCAGATAAACGCAGCAGTTGATAGCTGGCTTGAGGGTCGTCAAGCGTTGCTAGGCGGAGTATCAATTCCGCCGGGTCACCACGGGCGATTTTGGAAACGAAATTCCTCTGGAACTCCTCTGTTCCTACTGGGATCCCGACAACTGGCATGCCACCTTCAGCAACTGACAGACCAATTTTCGTCAATTGTTGCTGTTCGTCGTTTGTCAAAGAGGACATGCAAAGACCTTCCGGGAAAAGCACTTTGGATTTCGGGAGACTGAGCTCAATGCCTTTTTGGGAGAGACGTTCCTGAATCCAATTCGTTACAGTGGATATGGCCTGCATGTTCCTAGCCAAACCTGGTGGAAGATGTGCTTGGAGGTCGTCGACGTATCCGATGAGTTTGGCTCCTGGCACTGGTGGCTTGTTGTTGAACTCTTTCATGATATCAAGAAGTCCTACACAGAAGCCAAACCCTCCCAAATTGCAGCCTTGTTGAACTCCGCGCTGTGAAAGAACAACCTCGATCGAACCATCTTCCATTTTGAACAGAAGTTTCGCCTTGGTTCGAGCGTAGATGTTCCCGAAGTACTTCACCAAGTGTGGCGTATGAGTGGCCACTGCTGGCAAGATGGAAGATCTGCGCATGCTGTTGTAAGCGTTTTTCCCATCAAAGGAGAGAATGGTGCTGCCTTGCTGGTGGCTGAGGGCTGCTGTGGAAGCCACTATCTCAACTCCTCCTGGAACACCACCTCCGAACTGATTTGCTGCTTCGAAGATGTTCGCAATTCCTCCCTTGTACTGGCGGCAGAAGCTGCCGCTGATGATGCGACGCAAAACCCCTCCAACTGCAATCGGCCGTTTTTTCTCTCCCAGCGCTGAAAGGTTGGCACTGGTGTGGAGGTTCCAAAAGAAATCCGGAAGCTCGTCTCCGTAGCAGAAGACTTTAAAACTCAAGTCCGCCAAGGTTTCAGTAAAAAAATCACTCATCCCACCAGCTTGGAGATACGAAAAACGAAGACCATCAGGCCCCGGAGCACTCTGAGGGTTGGCTTTCTTTACCGTCTGCTTGATGAACTTGATTTCGAATGGTTCATCAGCTTCGGCGACGGAGTCGATCTTGTGCGTTTTTATACGATCTCCCGCAGCTTTGATGCTGGAATCCCACGCAGTAGCAATATCGTCAGGATCTTCGTTAGGGTGTAGGTTGCTAAGATGCTCCAGCGTGTCGTTGTTGCGCGGTGAAGGTGCTGGGGAGATTAAGGCACTGGCAGCTTTCGTGATGCTTCCTCTTTCATGCGCAAGTCGTGTGGCTCTTCTTTGGCGATTGTCTTCAGTATCCGCGTAATACTGAAGTCGATGATCCTTCTCGTACATCATGAGCCAAGCGATAGGTTCACGGACCAGCATCCTTCTGCCCCCCAACGTCACGTCCGTCTTTCAGCCTGTGGACATGGGGATCCTGTTTGCTCTCAAGTGCCAGTACATNTGCCCAGGCCACCGCATCAAGAACGACGACCCGCAAATCGTCATCATCTTTCTGCCCCCCAACGTCACGTCCGTCTTTCAGCCTATGGACATGTGAATCCTGTTTGCTCGCAAGTGCCAGTACATGACGGAGATGGTGATGAGGTTGGCGGCCCTCATCGAGGACTGGGATACAGCGCGTGCGCGCAAAATCCGAAGGTAAGACTGTGTTGTGGGGGCGGCGAAGGTAGTGATTCGTTCTTGTGGCTGCGGGTTCAGTTGTGTTGGTGCTGGTCAGGCAAGTGTTGTTCGACAACACTTGGTGCAGGCATGTACCGGATTACTACTGTAGGCGAGTGCAACAGCAGTCAACAGCACTAGTGCTGCCTCAAAAAGGTCTCCGATCAAAATATGCCTGCCCTACACCGCATCCAGCGAAATCCACTCGCTCGCTGGTGATTTTCAATCTATCCTTTTTTTTAAACCCTGTGTTCCTTGCATCATTATTTCGCAGAGGCTGCAGGGGCCTGAACGACGCAGGCCAGCCGACAGTGCTGGATGCGACGGAGATCATTTCCCAAAAGTGGGAGAGCTTTTCGGACCAGACTGTGATCAGGTGCTGGCTCAAGGCCACCATTCTTCCTGGGGAGCACGAGAGCGCGCTCAAGGACAAAGACTCGAGGTTGGGCCGAGAAGACCCAGGGGCGGCCGCCCTGGACGACCTGTGCGATATGGTCGAGAAGATGTTCATGCCGGAAAGTGCCAAGGACCTGGATGCTAGGTCTAAGCCGCGAGTGTTGACGGACGACTTGTTCGTCGAGAGCGCCTCTGGCCTCACAGAAGAAGAAGTGCGCAGCGCAATGCGCACTTGGCATAGTGTAGAGGACGATGAAGAGGTCTTGAGGGATGAGGTAGAACTCAAGATGCAAGAGGTAAAGGAGAACATGTCAAACGTACACGTCGGGGAGGACGTGTCCAGTGAAGAGGAAGGCGATCACGGTAGGCCAGTCGTGCATCAATCTACGATTTCAGAGGGCGAGGTTCGCTCTCGTCTCGAAGATGTCCGCTCTTACTTGTACACACATGGAAGAGACGGCGAGTGCAGCGAAACGGCATACCTTCTTTCGAAGACTGTGCATTCGTTCACTCATGAAACTCAGGTCAAGCGAAGAGCAAAGGAGGGGGGGGAGGTGCAGGCGACTCTTCAGGATATGTGGCGGGAGTAGTTTTAAGTTTCGAGAGCAAAGCAATTTTATTGCCAACGTTCGTTGTTTGCCTCNTCTCGAAGATGTCCGCTCTTACTTGTACACACATGGAAGAGACGGCGAGTGCAGCGAAACGGCATACCTTCTTTCGAAGACTGTGCATTCGTTCACTCATGAAACTCAGGTCAAGCGAAGAGCAAAGGAGGGGGGGGAGGTGCAGGCGACTCTTCAGGATATGTGGCGGGAGTAGTTTTAAGTTTCGAGAGCAAAGCAATTTTATTGCCAACGTTCGTTGTTTGCCTCGGGTGAAGTCTCGTGAGGTTGAATTTGGCGTTTGTGTTGTGTTGTGCCTCGTTTTGACCTTTTGGGAGGCGCGGTGTCCTCTTTGTCCCTGTGCTTTCCCGGCATTTTTGGTCTCTGTGTTTCTGCGTAGCCTACATTTTCCTAGTGTCGTTTTACAACCTTCGATATTTCTCAGGTGCGGTAGCGAGATCTTGGGCAAGATATTCACGGGGAGGACAACGCCGGAAAAAATAAAATAAAGCAACTAATTAAGCCCATATCAACACCAGCGCACTACCATCGTGTGTATGTACGATGCGTAGGTCGTAGAACACCATCGCTTTCAGCGTTTTGGTGGTACAGTGCAGGGAAATTCAAACGATGGTGTGCAAGTATGTATTGCAGCACAATAGCAGCAGTGGTTGCGACCTTCAAATCACCTTGTGTCGTAGGTTTCAAACAATACCTCTTGTGGTCGCCTCTCTGCTGCGAATGCGCACCTTTTGACATATGTTTCGCCTTCATTGGCCCCGGGCATGGTGCGTTAGTGGCCCCGGAATTTTGAAGACACTTCCCCGCGTTAAAGACACTTTTTTACGTGGTGTGTCTTCAAAGCGGGGTCGACTGTACTTCACAACGCAAGCAGAGGCAAGGCCATCTGGCACAGAAAAAGAGAGAAATAGAGAAAAAGATAAGAGTGTACAAACTTGCGGGACGGGAGTAGTTCTCTAGAAATCCAACGGTGGTCACTGGGAAGAGAGGGGAAGAAGAGTGACAGAAGAGGGGTGAAGAGGGGTGTGCACAGCACACCACTCCGCAGCCCTGACGACGCAGAACCGACTTGACGAGGCGGTGACGCAAACATCGTCTGGGCTGGCGTGCTGACGTGGTACAGCACTGACTCGCTACCGAGGAATCTCCACCGTGGGGCGTGAGACGACAAACAACCATCTGGACGGTTGAAGCATGTGCGGTACGCGGGAATGCGTATACAGTAACATACGGATGCGCGCGGACCGCACGGAAAGATCCGCAGAGCAAGGGCAGGAACAGTTGGACAGGGGACCTCGAGTAGGAGGTACGTGCAGCTACACCAGAGACTCACAAATCTCTACTTGAGGTTGAGGAAGCGGTCCGGGAAATGGCCAACAGAAAGGCCGTCGGGCCGGACGACCTACCGGCTGAGCTGATCAAGCTTTTCCTGGACGGAGGTCAAGGTCTCCTCCGCGAATTCCACGCCATTGTCGTGGACGTATGGCAGACGGGGGACGTACCACAGCAGTGGAAGGATGCCACCATCAAAGT